AAGACGACAAAACTGTATAACCTCTCATTCAAAAGCTTCTGATTAACAATTTTAGGTAATGAATGGTTTCGTTGTTAAGAGAAGGGTCAATCTCCACAATGGTTTTTATACTATCACAGATACTGTGATCATTACAGTCGATGCACTTTAATCTGTTATTCAGATCTTTGCGATAGTGATTATTTGTGACATACAATGATAAGTAAAAATCTTCCACATCACTAGTGACTGCACTTAATTTTATCGACCAGAGTGTTCTTAATGTTTTTGCAGCCTTTGGCCTCAACATTTAAAAGATGAACATATAATTTTCTCGATTTAGAGTACTGTATTACAAAAAATCTGGTTAAGAAGATTAAGTTGATTTTTTTCTGATTTGAGACACTGAACTTTTACTTGATACTTAGGGCATGCAAAAGTGGTGTGTTCTTACAGAACTTCGGGAGACCAATCGCGGTTTTAGGCCTAATCAATTTACTTTGTGTAGTTTGTTTTTAATAGCACCAGCATTTGTGTTAACACATTCACATCCATAAGTTAGTATCGGTAACATGGATTTCCAAATATGATTCTTAACATTATAAAATGAACCGTTTCTACACATTCCAATACTTCGAAAGGAATAAAAGGCACTTTGAAATTTTCTGACTTTGTCTTGAACATTTTTGGAAGATTTCATATCAATTGATAATACGGCACCAAGATACGTTACTGAATCGGTATTAAGATTAAAATTGTTGATTGACCAACACGGATGTGGGGTTAATGTATTCTTTCCAAAAATAGTACAAGTTGTTTTATTCGGATTGAATTTAAGGCCATGAGAGGTGATTAGCATAATTAATCAACTTTTGTAAACCAGTACTAGTTAAGCTGACAAGAAGAAGGTCATCCTCATAGTAGTAGAGTCATTTTCATGAGATCCGTGACTAATTTTAGGATACCTTTGTTTCTCAATGGATTTGGCAAGATGGACCAATTTAGATAAAATATAGCTCCTATATACCTCCCAGATATGAGGGAGAAAGTTCCGTTTGGGGGCGTTTTTCAAAATGGCCGCCTGTTGATTTGGACGCTTGTATCTCGATAACCACTGGTCAGAGAGGCTTGATTTTGGTCTGAAATTGTTCACAATATACATGTTCCTCTTTGTTGTGATACAACTTTTTATCACAAAATGGCGGGAAATGCGATTTTTTAAAGTTTGACCTTTGACCTTGTAATGTCATATCTCGGTAACTACTGGTCACAGAGACTCACAATTGATTGCAAATTGTTCAGAAGATTCATGTTTTTATTCGTCTTAATGAAAAAAATATTCAAATAGTGACCGGGAACGGTACATTCTGACCTTCGACCTATTGTAGGGTCATTCCATGTAAAATCAACCAGATTAAAAAAAAAATCCTGTATGACTGTCTCAGATTTTCATGAAACTCCACAAAAATGATCCACTATATGTTAAACCAAAAAAAAGAAAAATTAGCCTTATAGGATATATAGTTTCCGAAATATTGACTCCTCAAAAAAGGGGCGTGGTTCTTCAAGATGTGCAAACGCAATTTACTTCAACTTTGGAAGCTTATAACTCAAGATTGGTAATAGCTAGCAGGGTCAAACTTGGTATTCTAACTTATTTTTCGCCATATTTCACAAATATGGCCTTAGATTAACAGTTTTAACAGTTATCCCTTCCCTTTTGAAGTTATCTACACTCAAAATAGCAGCTTAGTTTAACGATGCAATTTTTTTTCTGATTTTCGAGGTCACCCTGCGTCCATTTGAGTGGGTATATACCCCTCATATTACAGATATATTATCTAAGTGTAGTTGTCTCTAGCCACATGCAAGCGCAGGCTGATCAACTCAATTAAAATTGAATGGCATATATTCAAAGTTGGGACCAGATCTATAAAAGTGAAAAACGCCTATGTTTCTCAACAACGGATCATCATGTGGACATTTAAAATCTTTTCTTAAATTTACCCCAGTTAATCAGATATGTAGATCTATCTATAAACCAAATTTCAGCTTTGGTACTCAGCTCCTTCATGGTTAGATACTATGTGTTGAAAACTACACAATAACATAATCGGAAATGACGAAAGTTTTTAAGAGTTGGGTCAATCTATGCCAACTCAACAAATGCATTACACCAGGGTCATAGATTTTAAAATTTTTTTTGGACACTGTCTCAGTGATATAGATATCTATGTGAACTGAAAAACCTGAAATTTTGAGACTCGCCAATTCATTCGTTTTCCTGTAGCGGCAGTTTGAGTTTACGGGGGTGTGGCCTCTCAACAAATGCATTACAACATTACAGGTGATAGATTTTTAATTTTTTGCACCCTCCGGCCTTGTGAATAGAAAAACCTGAAGTTTTGAGACTCAAATTCCCTTTTTTTTTCCGTAGCGGCAATTCGACATAAAGGGGGTGTGCCTCAAATTAACTTTGATTTTCGTATGCTAATATCATCATACAACCCCTTTAACATTTTGTAGTGTTCATCAACAATAATACCCTACTTTTATGTAAATATTTTGCTTTAATTTTCTAAATCTATGTTATAGACCCGTAAAATTTTCTATGAATTTCAAATTTATTTATCTAAAGTTATTTCTGGTTTAATTCTTAATGTGCAACTTCAACCTGGGTAATAATAACCTCATCAAATTTGTATTGTGGGTGACGGCACAGGGCAATTGGGACATCACACACATCATTTTTTGTGGCCAATATGGTAAATTATTTTCTGGAAACTTTCTATTCTGTTTCATGAATATATTCATGTTCGATTTATGAATAGAAACTTCCTAGAATTTGTATTATATTCATATCTATTTTGGGCCACGCCCCCTTAACTTCAAACTGCCGCTACAGGAAAATGAACGAATTGGCGAGTCTCAAAATTCCAGGTTTTCAGTTCACATAGATATCTATATCACTTGAGTCAGTGCGGCAAAAAAAAAATAAAAAAAAAATCTATGACCCATGGTGTAATGCATTTGTTTGTTTGGCATGGAATGACCCAACTCTTAAAAATGTTAGTGATTTCCTAATACGTTGAAATATGTGTAGTTTTCAACATAGTATCTAGCCATGAGCTAAGTACCAAAGCTAAAATCCAATGTATCTGATTAACTGGGGTAAATTTAAGAAAAGATTTTAACTTTCCACAAGACGATCCGTTGTTGAGAAACATTGGCGTTTTTCACTTTTATAGATCTGGTCCCAATTTTGAATATATGCCATTCAATTTCAACTGATTTGATCAGCCTGCGCTTGCATGTGGCTAGAGAGACAACTACACATAGATAATATATCTGTAATATGAGGTGTATATACCCACTCATATAGACGCAGGGTGACCTCGAAAATCACAAAAAAAATTTGCATCGTTAAACAAAGCGGCTACTTTGAGTGCAGATAACTTCAAAAGGGAAAAGATAGCTGTTAATCTAAGGCCATATTTGTAAAACATTGCACAAAATAAGTTAGAATACCAAGTTTTACCCTGATAGCTATTACCAATCTCAAGTTATAAGCTTCCAAAGTTGAAGTAAATTGCGTTTGCACA